AGCATACAGGGTTAGTCAAAGTGAAAATTCTGAACCTTAATTGCCATTTTCAAAAATCTAATGGTAGAGCTGGGAAGATAGCTCAGTTGCCTAAGTACTTGCCTAGCAGGTACATGGTCCTGAGTTTGATCCTCAGTACCAGAAAAAAAAAATGGGGGGCCAGGGAGATGGCTCAATGGAATAAGTGCTTCCTTGGCAAGCGCAGGGGCCTGAGTTCAATCCCCGGTTCCGCCAAATTAAAAAAAAAATCAATCAAATAAATAAACAAAAAGCTAAGAGAAATAATTATTACAATCAACTCAGCCATGCTGTAAAAATCAGTGTATTTGATGCTCTATTTTGTAACATTTACTGTGAGAACAAATGAAGGAATTTTGAATACAAACTTTAAGCTATGGATGGTTAGGGCAGCACCAAGAAATATATAACTCACAAAGATTAAAGAGATACAAATAATACATATTTTGTGTTTTTCTTAAAAAATGTATTAAGGCTATGCAAATTTTTAAGTACATACATTCAATACATAATTGTCATCTTCGTTTGGGGCAATTGACATAAGTATATCCTATGTAATTACTTTATCAATTTTTATCTTTTTAACCCCTCCTCTTCTTCTCACTCTCACTTCCTTTGATCTCCTTCCCCTTTTCTGTCTTGCAGTCTCTCCTTTATTTTACCCTTTAGTTCATTTATATTTTGGGTTTCTCATATAAGAGAAATAGCTTGCTATTTAACTTTATGTATCTGACTTATTTTGCTTAACATTATGGTCTTCAAGATCCATCCACTTTCCTGAAAATGGCAAGATTTCATTTACTTTATGGCTAAGTAATATTAAGTGTGCATAGATACACACATTTTCTTTATCCACTAATCTGTTGATAACTGGCTTTTTTTTCAAGCTGTTAGCTGTTGTAAGTTGTGTTGTTATAAACATAAGTATAGATGTATCAATATAGCATGCTATTTTTATCTTTTTGACCTTGTTACACTAGATAGTATCCTAATTTTTGACTGATGGATGCAATTGACTCTTACATCCTTTTGAAAGTTTTAATCATAATTAATTTTTTTCTCAGTTTTCTTATTTTAAGTATCATTAATCCTCGGGAAAGATTTTTCTCTTTGTTGTTGTGTTAAAAATTGTTAATTTTACTTTAGAATATAAACTTTGGTCCTTCTTGGTTGTTCATATTATATTATATAAATGATAAAAAGAAGACTGGTTTCAGTGATCCAGCAGCTCATGCTGTGCATGTGTTCTCTGGAGTGATATTCACCAGTTTCCTCTACAAATAAGCCTCTTCCTTAAACAACTCCCCACTGGTCTGAGGACACTACACTTAGGCTTCTCAGTGTGTTAGCCTCCTGCACAGAGGCGCCCACCTTGTACACTTTCCTGCGTGCTCTAGAAGTTCCTTAAATTGTCCCTTTCTCCACCAGAACCTCTACCCTATAGGAAACTAACAGACAGCTTTTCTGAGAGTTAGCTGAGGGTTAAAAACACCCCTACCAGCATCTCTGAAGAAAACCAGGGGAAAGCAGACACCTGGCAGTCTTTAGTATTCCAGTGAAAGTTCTGTAGTGAATTATTCACTTACCTCACCTGCAAAGTGACCACTGGGACTACCCTTAAGAGTGGAACTGCTTTTAATCTGTGTTTCTTTCCTGCTTCGGGCCCAGGCTGTGTCCCTTTCCCTTTGTTTTTGTTTTAACTCGGTATTATCCTCTCTGACTTTCTATCTTCTAAGATTCTTTAGTATTTCTTGTCTGCCAATAAGATCTGTTTTATTTTTTAATATGTTCATGAACTTATTCTTTTAAAGTATGATCTTCTCAAGACAGAAGTAGATGGCTGTATTGTTCTGCCATCTTGATCTAAAATTCTTTGGAGAGATACTTATAAAATGGTTTATAAATAATTTACATGTGCCTATTTGATTGTCATTCATAAATCAAACAAAATACAGCTGTGTGGTAATTAATTGTTAAATAGTCATTTTGTACTCTGGGAATCTTTTAATAATGTAAATACTGGTGAGTTGGTTACTATATTTTAAAGGCTTTATTTTAAATAAATAATATTGATACCCTAAAGTACTGATCCAGTATGTCTAATAGGATACTTGCCACCTCTATTGACTTGATAGTTTTCTCTCTGCAGTCTGTGTGCTTTCTCATCTTAGGGACAATTTCTTTAAAAACTCAGGCATTTTATTATTACATGGTTTCTCTAAAAGAGAATACATGAAAGTAGGTGGAGACTATTATTACACAAGAGGAAGGGAATTCGGGGCCAAAGGTGGAAAAGAGGGGTGGATCAAATAGATTATCTGTACTGAAATCCAATGTTTTATAAAATTAATAGGCACTAATAAAAATATATTTTTAAAATTACTCACTGTAAAATTTTTCCATGTATGTTGTGTAAATAACATTGATGTTACTGTTAGGACAAAAATTCAACTTGCTGTATTTTTTTTCTCATCTTTGTGGATAGGGACAGGGGGTAGGAAAACTTTCTGCTTACTTCAGAAATAAAATTTTTCATTGAAGTAAGCTGTTCTATTTCCATGTCGATACAATTCTGACTGCGGGGTGTAGCGCCTAAGCGGTCATCACCACAAGCTCAGAGCAGCATCTGTGGAGATGTCTTTGGACATGAAAGCGGTGATGGAACATTCCTGTCCTGATTATGGGCTTTGGTTTCTATTCCTGAAAGGTTTGATACTGATTACGTTAAAAGACTATAAACCTTGAGCCAAATAAAATAAGCACCTAGAAATTCTAAACCATGATACACTGAAGTTAGTAGTTACATGAGCCTTACAATTCAGTTTTTCTAATAGAATTATATAGGTCTTCAAAAATTCAACAAATGGGAATTATTTTATTTATCTATTTCTATATTTGGAAGTATAGTAGTATAAAACTTAGGGTGCAGAGGCCCTAAGATAAATAATCATGCTAGAATTTATGACTGCTCAGGAAAATATAATACTTAAATGGTAAGCATTTCTTTTGTTCAAGGAACTTTCAGTTTACTGAGTGAGAAACACATTATCTTAGTTATAAACTATTACTGCTAGTTGTTGTTCCTTTTTTTTTTCCTTTTGGTTACCATAAAACACTTCCTTGCATATTCATCCAAATAAGGGAAGTTTTAAAGTAAATGTGTATAATTCAATCCTCACTGACCTTGTTCATAAGTTAATAAAGTTTGCAAAGTGAATAAATTGGACTATTTGCAAAATGTGGTTTTAGGATTATTTAATAGGAAAGAACAGTTTTAAGTCTAGCTTTTCACTGTGTAGGTTTTGATCCCACATTTATTA